TTTTTCTTGAAAGCAATTTACTATTTAGTTATATCAGCTTCATGCATTGCATTATTCATAATTCCAGTGACATATATTACAAAGGTAAAAATGAAAAGAATGTAAGATTCTTTAACTATGGATGTAGTTATCAGGAATCATTATGATTTTCCTTTTAAAGATCTAAATATATGAAAGTTTACTAAGAACAATTTATGATTAAAGTCAAGGAAATGCAAATTCATTGTGGATTTAAGCATCTTTTCAGGAGAATAACCATTATAATCTGTGAAAGACATAAAGTTTTATAAAAATCATACAAGTGTTAAAGGAAAAAAATGGATAATGAAGTTCAGTGCATTATCCTACAGTGCCATACCCTAATGTAAATCTTTACGGTAGCAAAAAGACTCAGAAGAACTGGTAGATTCAAGCTGCTGACTTTGCGATTATTAGCCCGAGCCTCTCTGCCTCTGTCTCCTCTCCTTGTCGCTTTTTTTGTCACTGTCTTCTTTATAAAAACTCCTTTTAACCAAGTACTTTTGTTTTAAATATTTGTTGGGAAAGATAAGCAAACAGAATCATTCCAGGTTCTTTAACTTTTCTCTTTGCTTATCAAGCTGATGTTGTTAAGTGCTAGAGAGTTGATTCCGACTCATAGCTACTTTGTATAGAGTTTCAGAGACTTTAAGTCCTTGTGAGAGCAGAGAACTCTCATCTTTCTCCTGCCCAGCAGGTGGTGGCTTGAACCGCAGACCTTGCAGTCCAATGCTTAACATATGGATCCAGGAAGTTTTTAAATTGTTTACCTTTATGTTATTGTTAATTTCCTTAGTTGTTGTTTGCCATAGAGGTGGTTTTTTACTTATAGTGACTCCATCTGACAGAATAGAACAGTTCCATTGGGTTTTCTAGGCTGTAATTTTTGTGGAAGCAGATCTATATGATAGATCTTTCTTTCTGAGACTGCTGGGTGGATTTGAACTGTCAATCTTCCCATTGGCAACTGAGTGCTTAACCATTGCACCACCAAGACTCCATAGTAATTTCCCTACATGCTTTAAAATTGATTTTATGAACAATTCACTTCTGAAAATTTTGCTTATTACTATGCACAGATAGTGTGACACTTTCATTAAACAGTATGAAGAAAACATAATGAGTGAAAAATGTAGGAAATAGTGCACATATTAATATGAGCAGATAAAAGAGATACATATCTCATATTTTAAAAAGAATATGCATTACCTTTTACCAGAGGCTTATTTATGTGTATGTCCCATATATCACCTGGAGTACAACTAATTTAGACAATACTTTAGGGCATTTGTTGTGGCACTGCAGGTTAATGCATTGGATTGCGAGGTTGGTTTGAACTACAAAGTCAGTGTTTCAAGCTCACCAGCTGCTTCTTGGAAGCACTCTACAAGGTTGCTATGAGCCGGTACTGACTCTACGGCATTTAATAACAACAGCAATTTACCAGTATTGGAAGGACTTGGTTTTAGAACAGTGCTTTAGATACGAACTGAAAATGGCATTATTGTAAGGCATTTATTTATCTGTGTGTTTGCCAGAAAATTACCAGTTTGTTTTTATGTGCTATCTCTAGTTCATTCTATATTATTTCTCAAGAGAATTCTCACTCATCAAAGTTTACATCTAAACAATATGAAATGTTTTATAAATGTTCAGTCTCGTGCATATATTTAACATGTGAAGCTTAATGGTAAATGCAGTAATTTTTAAAGAGTGATGAAGAACACCTTCATGTTTTCACGTTTGCTTGCCAATAGAGAAACTTGCTAAGATCTTTAGTTATTACTAAAAAAATAGCACAAAGACTGAGCTCTTTGTATTCACAATTCTTTCTATATGGAGAGCCAACTGACCTGTTGCAATACAGGAAATACTACATCAGGATTGTAGGAAGCTGATTAACAACCTTCAATATACAGATGACACAACTTTGCTGAAAGTGAAGAGGACTTGAAGCACTTACTGATGAAGATCAAAGAATACAGTTTTCAGTGTAGGTTACACCTCAGTATAAAGAAAACAAAAATTCTCACAGACTGGAGTTGTCAAGGATTTCATTTTACTTGGATCCATGGTCAACACTCATGGAAGCAAAAGTAAAGAAATCAAACAACCTGTTGCACTGGACAAATCTGCTACATGAGACTGACAGTTTTAATATTTTCTTCATTTATCAGAATGTTGCTTAGTGGTCGAGCTGTAAGGATTTTTGTTTTCTTTATACTGAGGTATGATTCATATGGAAGGTTGTAGTCTTTTATATTCATCAGTAAGTGCTTTAAACCCTCTTACTTTCCCCTCTTGATAATAGTTATTGTCTTTTTTAAGAGAAATTGAGTGAAAATGTACTTATTTGGGGGTACACTAATGCTCTATCTGTTCTATATGGTACCTATTCCAAATGATTGTTGTTATGCTATCAGAAGAGTGCAAAGATTCAAGTACTTTCAAAAGTTGTTGTTGTTGTTTGGTGCCATTGAGTTGGTACCGACCCATAGCGACCCTATGCACAGCAGAATGAAACACTGTCCGTTCCTGGGCCAACCTCACTACTGTTGCCACACTTGCCTCCATCGATGCTGCCACTCTGCCAATCCATCTTGCTGGGGGTCTTCCTCTTTTTCTCTGACCCTCCACCTTACCAAACATGATATCCTCCTCCAGTGACTGGTCCCTCCTGACAATATGTCCAAAATATGAGAGATGAAGTTTGGCCATCTTGGCCTTCAAGGAGCACTCTGGCTGCACTTCTTTAAAACGGCTATATTGGTTCTTTTGGCAGCCCATGGCACTTTCACTATTCTCCTCCAACACCATAACTCAAAAGAATCAATTCTTCTACAGTCTTCCTTATTCAGTGTCCAGCTTTCACATGCATATGAGGTGATTGAAAATACCATGGCTTGGGTCAGGCGCATCTTAGTCCTCAAGCTGACATCTTTGCTCTTCAACACTTTAAAAAGGTCTTGTGCAGCAGATTTGCCTAATGCAAAACGTCATTCGATTTCTTGACTGCTGCTTCTGTGAGTGTTGATAGTTGATTCAAGAAGAATGAAGTCCTTGACAACTTCAATCTTTTCTCCATTGATAAGAATGCTGTTTATTGGTCCAGTGGTGAGGATTTTTGTTTTCTTTACATTGAAATGTAAGGAGCTCTGGTAGCGTATTGGTTACGAATCAGGCTGTAAACCTCAAGGTTTACAGTTCGAAACTACCAGCTGTTCCGCGGAAGAAAGATGAGGCGTTCTGCTCCCATAAAGATTTACAGCCTTGGAAACCCTGTACAGGGTCGCTGTGAGTCGGAACCGACTCCACGGCACATAACAATAACAACAACAACAACATTGAAATGCAACGATAAGGTTGTGGTCTTTTATCGTCATCAGTAAGTATTTTAAGTCCTCTTCACTTTCAGCAAGCAAGGTTGTATCATCTGCATATCGCTGGTTGTTAATGAGTCTTCCTCCAATCCTGATGCCACGTTTTTCTTCATATAACCCAGCTTCTCAGATTATTTGCTCAGCATACAGGTTGAATAAGTATGGTTAAAGAATACAACCTTGTCGCACACTTTTTAAAATTTTAAGCCATTCAGTGTTCCCATGTTCTGTTCGAACAACTGCTTCTTGGTCCAGATACAGACTCCTCATGAGCACAATTAAGTGTTCCGGAATACTCATACTTCGCAATGCTGTCCAGAGCTTGTCATGATCCATACAATCGAAAACCTTTGCATAGTCAAGTGCCTATCGGATAATAAAGGAGACAAATTTTAGAGATACTACTGTTTGGATCATCTTCATAGATATAAACACCTTAGCCAGGAACCTATCATATGAGTAATAAATCAAAGCAAAAGGTTTTCTAACATAATTTTAGAGGCTTGTCATGTATATCTTTTGGCGAGATTTTAATTCCTTTTCCCCTATATTTTGGTTCTTTTTAAAGGTAAAAAGTTATCTATCTTGTAATGGAAATGATGAAGTAATAAACTAATGTAGAAGTTTAGTGTGACCTTTATTTTCTTCCTATCACTTCCAGTTTCTTAAACAGTGATTTCCTGTTTAATTCTGTTCAAGAATGCGGTATTAAAAAATTTTTTTTTGGTGTGTGTGTTCCATTATAAGAAATAACAAAAATAACTAGCCTTTCCAATAAGGGATCTTTTTAGATTTTGAAAACTTTTCCTTACAGCAGCTTATGAGCTTTAGACTTTACTATTTATTAAAACAGTTTTCTAGATAATTGATAAACTATCTTCATTAATCAAGTAGAAGCCCAACCAATTATGTTTAGCATATCACAGTACTGTAAAAAGTAAATATTTACAAAAGGCTTGGAAGACAAAGATAAAAATGTTATGAAAATCATTACTATTCTTACTCTTTCATTTTCTCTGTCTTCATGAAAAAGACTAACTTTTCTCCCTTATCTAAATGTAGAATACTCAAGTCCTGAAGCTATTAGAATAACAATTATGGGAGTCATTTATTAATTAAAAACTGCTATATTTTATACACATCATTTTACTCAACCCCTCAACAACTTTGGTAGGAGAGTTGCATTATTTCTCTTGTATAAATTGAGAAGGAGGTTTAATAAATGACTTAAGAAAAAAGGGGGAAAGCAGTGGCTACAACCTAGCTAACTGTAAAGCAAGATACATTTTCAAGGGCCATATGGTTATTACCAATATTGGTGAAGTCATGGTGAAGAGCTGAGCAATAAATAAATTGGCAGAATTAAATAATTTGGTGTTCAGAAATATGAACCATGAGTATTTTTCTAATTAAATTTTGAAAATTCACTCTTATAAATTTTGCTAAATTGCTTTCTTGTGAAAAACAGCATTGCACTTTTATAAAGTCATATTGTTTTGATTGTCAGAGTTTTAAAGAATCTACGAATATTTTGTTTCCTTCAGATTTTAGTCTGAAAAATCCAGCATTCAAGGAATTGAATGAAGCAGTGGGTCCCAGAGAATGGCAGATTCTTATTTCTCTGTGTCTGATGAATACGGTCTTGCTGAACCAGTGCAGCACTATGGTATGTAACAAAAGTAATAGTAAGTAACCAATAAAACTTTTTTTTTTTTTGGGGGGGGGGATTATGGTTAACTACAGAGATTTTTAAAAAAGAAAGTAACAAGTGAACCATGGGCTCTACATTATTCCTTACAAGAGAATATAGCTAATTTAAAAATGAACGGTATTTAAATGTTGTAAGTCAGAATCAGTTGTAAAGAAGGAAAAGCACAGCAGCCTAAAATCGCATTCAGTGTTTTAAAAATAGTCTGCAAATTAAGAGTTATTTTTAGGTACTAGTAGGAGATGATTTTTGTACAATTTAGTAAATGTAGTTTACAGAAATTATGATACTTACACTTGAATATTTTAATTTAAATACAAGATTCCTATAAAAGGGTAAGAAGTAGAAAATAATGCAGAAGACCATGGAAATTTTCTATGAATAGACTAAGGCTATAATAGAAATGTAACCTTAAATGTTAGTTTTCTTTTGCAGCTTGAATTCTGGTTTCCAAACCAATGGAACATCAACCAATACTCTCCAGAGGAAAAAAGGCTTTTTACTTTCATCCAAGAAAGGCACTTTACTTTTAAACAATAATTAGTTACGCTGCACTTACTGATAAGCTGTTTGTCAGATGTCAGGCTGTCTTCGGTATTTATTCAACACTTGGCATTGCACTGGTTATTATAATGTTGCAAGTGATTTACATGAATGATCAATAAGAATTTTACAACTTACCCTTAGTGGTAAAGTTTTGAGGGTAAGACTTATAGCCATTTGGTGACTCAGCTCCAGGAAAAATACAAATATTACTAATTATTTGTTGCTGTTGTTAAGTGCTGTCGAGTCGGTTCCAACCCATAGCAACCCTGAAAAGGGTTTCCGAGGAGCAGCTGGTGAGCTTGAACCATCGACTTTGCAGTTCAAACGGCTTTGCAGCCTGGCGCATTAACCCGCAGCACCACACCAAGAATCCTTACTAATTATTTGTTGTTGTTAAGTACCTTGGAGTAGGTTCTCATTCAAAGTGACCCTGCAAAGGGTTTCTGAGGCTGTAAATCTTTACCGGAGCAGAAAGCCTCATCTTTCTCCCACGGAACGACTGGTAGTTTCGAACTGCCGACCTTGATGTTAGCAGCCCAAGTCATATCCACTACGCTACATAGACTAATGAAGTATTCCTGGGTCTTTTAGGCCAATTTTTCTGATTTAGATTCAGTAATTCTCTTGAAATCAGGAAATAACTTAGTGTTTGGGAGTCTTTGATAAAAAGATTACTGCTATAAATTATGTTTCATTTGATAGCTTTAGTGTGCTTTTACATACTTCATTTCATCCTTAGAATAACACTGTGAGATAGCTGAATTTATGTCGGATAATTGCTAGTTAGAATCACTGGGCAAGAAAATAAAAAAGAAACGAATAATTTAAATCAGGACTACAAATGGCAAAGGAAAGTGTTAAGGTATTTTAAATGGTAAGTTTAAACAAAAACATTTCTTTCTTTCTTTTTGTTTTAGATAACCAAATTACTAAGGTGCAAGTGTATTTTCATTCAATTTTTATTTTTTTGGAAGGTGGGGTAATTTATTCATCCATCTTTTTTTTCTTTCTTTCTTGACTTGATTATACTGAAAAGAGTTGCTCTACAAGGGAAATGTGTAAGATGAGGGAAATTGTTTCCTCTGAGAAACATTCATTTCTACTTAAGGCGGGGGAATCCTGTTGTGGCACTGTGGGTTAATGCGCTGGACTGCAAGGTAGATTTGAACCTCAAGGTCAGTTCCTCGGAAACCCTATACAGGTCGCTATGATTCGGAAACACTCCACAGCACTTAATAATAATAACAACTTAAGGTGGGAGATTGGATAGGTATAAAGGCTATTAGAAACTACGACCCTTTCTCCCAGTTCCTGAGCAACCTGTGTAAGCCCCTGCAAGTGTACAGTTAGGATACATCACAATGTAGTTTACTATCTGCCCATTATGTTGGAAAGCAAGACCCTGGGATGGAGCAGAAATGTTGAACTCTGTTTATTGGGCATAAAATACTTTGAAATTCAAAAATGGTTTTGAAGTTTTCCAATTTCTTCTTTTTTGTGTTAACAAAACTAGATGTTTTGCCAGAACAAGTCAATTATCAGCTGCATGAACCTGATGTTCAAGAATCACCTTACTGCCAGTACTCTACTGCCCAGTTTCCTCCAGCTTTACAAACCCAGTTTTTACAAGGTCATTGTAACTTGGATCCATATTACAGTGGTGGACAGTGTGGACTTTCTTCCTGTGAATTAAATAAACCCAGTTATGTGGTTGCCCACTGTGCTGAAGATGGATATCCTGCAATAAAAAGATTCAGACCAATTTATTCTTCAGTGCGAATTAAGGGACAGGAAGAACTCTGTGTAGTTTGTGGTGATAAAGCATCAGGATATCATTATAATGCACTTACTTGTGAGGGCTGCAAAGGTAAGGATCAAGTTAAAGTGAAACTGTAATGTTTGTGTTTACTGAAGAGTCACAAAATTTTAGGCATGTGAGAATGCCTCAAGGTTGCATGGATAATGTCTTTTAGAAACATAAGTACAAAGTTGGTCCCTATGAAGTGGAGTTCAACGAGATCCCCAATTTCCAACTTTCCCAATATGTTATATGATATCATAATCCCTGATATCACTCCCTGATTATCACTACTTCCCTCCTTCATGTCCCAGGGTTCTGCAACATACTGGAGTGTCTCACAGAACTCACAATGGTCAGGAACTGGCTCACACAATTGTGGAGACTGGTAACTTTCGAATCCGTAGGGGTCAGTCAGGAGCCTTGCCCTCATCCATGTGTTCTCCTGGTGTAGCACTGTGGGTTAATGCGCTGGGCTGCAATGTCAGTTTGAACTGCAAGGTCAGCGGTTCAAGCTCACAAGCCTCTCTTTGAAAACCCTATTCAGGGTCACTATGGGTTGGAATCCACTGACGGCACTTCAAAACAACAACAGGGTAATCTCAGGAGGTGAGGAACCCAAATTATTAGGTCAGACAACAGGCTGTTGATAACAAGGCTGGTGAATTGGGTCAGGTGATAGGTCAGCTGGAGAGAGATGTGCCAGATGCAGGGTCCAGAGCATGAAAAAGAACTTTGCCAAGCATTCCTGCTTATTAGACTCAGACCGTGCTCCCAAGAAACTTACTGAGGGTGGTGATTTGAGTCACATTCTCTAGTAAGATGGTTATGTACTGTGGAGTCAGTTACAACTCATAGCGACCCCGTATAGGGTTTGGTGGTGGTGGTAGTATGCAGTGGAGTCAGTTCCGACTCATAGCGACTCTGCATAGGGTTTCTGAGGATGTAAATTTTTACGGGAGCTGAAATCTTCATACGTCCTTTTCCCTCAGAACAGCTGGTAGTTTCAAATTGCCGATTTTGAGATTAGCAGCCCTACTCATAACCACTGCTCCTCTTAGCCCCAATCCTTACTCCTTTTTGTTGTCGTTAAGTGCCATCTAGTCGGTTTCAACTCATAGCTACCCTGAGGTGTGACTGGAGGGTTTGAGCCACCGACCTTGACCTGCGATGAACAGTTCAGTGCTTATCTTAATCCGTTGTTGTTGTTAAGTGCCGTTGAGTAGATTCTGATCCATAGCGACCGTGTATAGGGTTTCTGAGGAGCAGCTGGTGAGCTTGAACCGCCGACCTTGCAGTTCAAATAGCTTTGCAGTCTGACTCATTAATCCACAGCGCCACACCAGGACATCCTTTGTTGTTGTTATTAAATGCCATCGAGTCGGTTCCGACCCATAGCGACCCTGGATAGGGTTTCCGAGTTGCAGCTGGTGAGCTTGAGCCGCCAGTCCCACATTACTCCTGCTTCATTAACAACCCACTTCAAAATGGGTCCATAATCACAGGCATGGTATTGTTATTGTTGTTATTAAGTGCCAGTCCAGTCAGATCCAACTCATAGAGACCCTGTGTAGGCTTTCCCAGGAGCAGGTGGTGAGTTTGAACTGCTGACCCTGTGGTTAGCTGTCCAGTGGTGATCCTACAGAGCCATACCAGGAGTCCAATCAAAGGCATAGAGACTCCAATTTACAATGTATCACAGAATGAAGGAATATGGCTAACAGGGCCATAAATAAAGGAGTCCTGGTGTGGCTCTGTAGGATGAGCACTGGACTGCTAACCACAAGGTCAGTGGTTCAAACCCACCAGGTGCTTTTTGAAAACCCTATACAGGGTCACTATGAGTCGGATTCAACTTGACACTGAACAACGACAACAAAGTAAAATCAGTGACAGCCAGCCATATATTTAAAGGTGATCAATCTGTAGAACCAAAGACATGAAAATATAATGTAATAAAGTTGGGATTAAATTTCCTTTTCACTCTTAATTAGAACTTTGACATTTAACATAAAATTTAATACTTATGTAGTAGAAGTCTGCCATGTCCTAAGTGAATCTGATATTGGAATAGAAAATTATATTTTAAAAAGTGATCTGAATTTTGAATATTACATCTTTTCATGTGGTTGACATAATTCATGCCTTAGGAGGGAATTTGAATGAAGTGATTTCTAAGATTCTGTCTAAGGCTGTTTATTTTCAAATTTGTTTTCTGAAAACAAATGGAAGATCTGAATGTAAAGACTGACATTGACAATGGCATTTGTCAAAGAATGAGACAATATTTAATGAAGTTTGAGGTTTTGAAATACTTTTGCATTATTTTATTCACAAATGCAATGTTGGGACAGGACCTGAATATCATTAGATCACTATAATATTAGATAAACTCATCTGTAATGGATATGAAGTGACATTTTGCTCTCAGAATGCCACAACTCACTCAACACAAAGAATGATAGTCAAATGAAGATTCTGGGAAGTGAGGTACCAGTTTTATGAATAGAATAGTTAGGTAAGTATTTGCTTAATTTTGAAACAAAACAAATGTTAAAACAAAATAAAAGACAGGCATAGTTCTGTAAATCTGTGCTGAGATCTTTACTCTTTTTATTGAGTCTTGGTTATGAAATTCTGACTCTCAAGTGTGTCAACAGGAAAAGAGTATATGACAGGATTCCAAGAAGAACACTGACTACCTGGAATGGAAGAAGAGGACAATAGCAGGGACAGGACAGTGAAGAAAAAAATGATAATAGGGAATTCTGTGTATGGATTTAAAAAGTGAAAAGAAGGCATAAATTTACACACACACACACACACACTCCATGTAATGCCTCAATCAAATAAATTAGCAACTTTGGTGCAGTACTAAAAAGGGAAATTGGACAGTGGAATAATTTTAGAAAAATATTCCAGCACACATGGGTTAAGGTGGAAATGTGAGGAAAAAATAGAACATTTTTCCTACAGGTTTATTTTATATGACCACCTATTCTTTCAAAGGAGGGTTGCTTTATGAAGCCTTAATGTTCTAAGAACATAGTTTAAAAAATGCTTTTAGATGATGTTTTTACAACCAGTAAAAGAAGGTCTTAATGTGATAGAGCTATTTAAGTTAATTTCCAGGAGTAAATATTGGAAAGAACAATGTTGAAATAGAATATATCAATCATAAAAGGATTGAAATATTATCTAGGTAAGTGTATATTAAAGAAAGTCTCCTATTGAGAGAAAAAATACTTTATTTAATTAATTTAATTTGTTGTATAACTCCACTCTGAAGGTATATGCTAATAGAATGATATATAACCAAAATAACGAATGGTAAAAAAATTTTTTTTTAATGTTTTATTTATTAGGATTTTTTCGACGTAGTATCACCAAAAATGCAGTATATAGTTGCAAGAATGGTGGTCACTGTGAAATGGACATGTACATGCGTAGAAAATGTCAAGAGTGCAGACTGAAAAAATGTAAAGCTGTAGGAATGTTGGCAGAATGTAAGTGCCTATGCTTTACTGCAAACTGAGTATATTCAAGTTGTCATTTTGAACATTTACGTATTTGTTTGGTTTAAGCTATTTCATTAACAACTCCTAGATTAAGAAGGCCAGTTACCAGCTTAGGTAACTAACTAGTTCCATGAACACTGCTATATATGTATGAGGGAACTTCAAAAGTTTCATGGAAAAATTCTACTATCTTTTAATTCAATTTTTCTGTGAACTTTTTGAAGCCTCTTTGTTTATTTCCCTACTTTCAGTAATAATTCTTAACTTTAAATTTTTATGTTTCATAATGTTACTTAATCAAAATTTATATAATGCATCTTGAAAGAGTGAAAATTTAAAATGGTAGTTATATGGGGAGCCCTGGTGGCACTGTGGGTTAAGAATTGAGCTGTTAATATTATCAGGGTGCAGGGGGGAACCCCAACCCTGAATGGAACAAGAATGGTATTTCATGGACCAAGAATAACAAGGTTAGACAGGTAGAGTTTTATAAGAGCAAAGGATTTATTCAGAAGAAAGATCTCACCAGAGGAGACTAGGAAGACCATAGGCAATGCTAACCCTTGTCTCCAAAAAGCAAAAGGCTTTGCTGAAGGTTAAAAAAGGTTTTATGTGGAAAAAGGTATCATGGATTCCACCACAAAGGCCTCTGGTATGGACAGATAAAACTTATTCTTGGATATTGTGCATGCATTGTTCTCCAGGACTCCAGATGAGTCCCTCACAGGTGTTTTCTTCTGCCCTCATTGAAGTCCTGCTTTGAGGTTATGCTTAGGGAACTGTGTAAAACCAGTCCAGCCTGTAAAACATCTTACAAGGAAGTAAAACATGGAATTTCTATGGTGGTCTGTTCTTTCTTAATGGCAAGTCCCAGAATGTGGCTGCTCAACTCTGCACACTGAGCATGTTCTACACATTTCCACAACTACCCAAGCAGGGAGGGCCATAACACTTAGTATTCCTGAAGAGCTCAGGCACAAAGCTTTAGTCAATAAGTGGCTTGTGTTTAATCCTGATTTCTGGATACCCTTTCCCCCCATCTCACTAACTGAAAGCTCAGCAGTTCAAATCCACCAACTTCCCTACTGGAGAAAGATGAGGCTGTCTGCATGCAGTCTTGGAAACTTTAGTGGAGCATATCCTTTGGACTCTGAGATCCTTGTGTATTGAACCTCCTCTTAGAGTCCTGGTGTGGCATTGTAGTATAAGTACTGGACTGCTAACCGCAAGGTCAGTGGTTCAAACCCATCGGCCGATCGTCAGAAACACTATACAGGGCCGCTATGAATTGAAATCTGTGAGGTGGCAGTGGGTTTCTTCAGTTTTGTATCTTCAGAAATTTGTAGGATGCTTAGGGGTGTGAAATTGGCTAAAAATAAATACATATATGTCAAATTTTAACTCAACATACAGAAGAGTAGCTAAGATTTTGAGTATCTTTTATACACTCAAGTGTTTTCCTTAACTTCTATGATGTCATTTAACGGCAGTAGTATCAAGATTTTGGCATTATCACATTTCTTCCTGTTCCCTAGATCTCAAAGTGATTTTAAAACATACTTTCCTTTTTAGAGTACAGCTAATAGTTTCTATCCATATCTAAGCTTGTGCAAATGTTATCTTGCAATTATACTATTCTATAAGTTTTCTGGCCATTTCTCCATTTTCTCTTTGTAATGAAATCTGCCTTCAACTGCTATCATAGTTTCCTTAATTTTTATCCAGTTACACTCTTATCTAATAAACACCAATGCTATATTCCATTTATAAGCACCAGATTGCTAACCTCAAGGTCATTGGTTCAAACACACCATCAGCTCCTTGGAAACCCTATACAGGGTAGCTCTGAGTAAGAACTGACTCTGCAGCACATATCAACAACTTAACTATAAATAAAATCCAAACTCTAATCAAAGCTATTTGCAATCAAAGGGAAACGAATTCCTTTTATTATTTATAATTTGAGAGTTGAGATAGACCTTAAAGTTATCCTGTCCAGCCATCAAGGAGCCTTGGTGGTACTGTGGTCAAGCACTTCCCTATGGGGAAGTTCTACTCTGTTTTGATTTCACTATGAATCAAAATCAGCTCTATGGCGCTGGTCTGGCCCAACAAGCCCGAATCCTTTATTTTGTCCTTGATAAATATCTTTTAACTCATGTTTGTAAACCTCTGGGAATGGGAATCTGTATTTATTTTTCTGAGTCATCCCATAAATGAAATTTACCCTCCTTCCCTTTCATCTATTGGCCCTTAAAATTTTTTAAGTTGAAGAAATTATTCCAAGATTTAATAAAGAGAATTGGTGTGTGGACACAGGCATTTCTTGGGTTAAACAAATAAACATTTAAATGCTGTTCCCATGCATCCAGATGTTATTCACATGCATCCAGATGTTTCTCACTCCCTTCCCCCCCTTATTCTCACCCTCCATCTAGCCCACCCTCTCTCTCTTTTTCTCTAAGTTTGTCCCTCCAAATTTGAATGCATGGGTGCTCAAATTCCATGCTAGGTACAAAGAATTTTCATTATGAATGCTCTCCTTGCCTTGGCTTTTTATGTTACCTGGTTTCACCCAATGGTGATGCAACTGAAATGCTTAAAAAAATTAAATGCATAGTGTATTTCTATCTGCACAAAATACAGGAGTCTTAGTCACACAATCTACATACAAAGTTCTATGAGTCTGTGGAGAGATGGGCTGGTGAGATGGAAACATGCTTCTTTGTCCTTACTCAAATAGATCCCTGGTGAGGCAAATGATTAAACACATTCTTGTTGCTGTTAAGTGCCATCTAGTTGGTTCCAACCCATAGTGACCCTGTATAGGGTTTCCAAGGAGCAGCTGGTGAGCTTGAACTAATGACCTTGCAGTCCAAACAGATTTGCAGTCTGGCATATTAACCCACAGCGCCATACCAGGACTCCCTTAAGCATACTGTTGTTGTTGTTAAGTACCGTGGAGTCGGTTCGGATTCATAGTGACCCTGCAGAGTGTTTCTGAGGCTGTAAGGGAGCAGAAAGCCTCATCTTTCTCCTGCAGAACGGCTTGTAGTTTTGAACTGCTGACCAATTCGTAGTCACTACGCTACAAGAGCTCATTAATCATACTACTACTGGTCAAAAGGTTGGGATTTTAAACTCATCCAGGCCTTGGAAGTAATACTTGGCAATCTGCTTCTAAAAGGCCACAGCCTTGAAAACCCTCTGGCATATTATGTAGGGTTACCATGAGTTGGAATCAACTTGATGGCAACTGTCATGGATTGAATTGTGTCAGATTGACTGGGCCATGATTCTCAGTGGTTTGGAAGTTATGGGATGATCCCTAATGATGTGGTCTGATGTGATAAACCAGTAAGAGGATTAAGGGTGGCATGTTGTTGTTGTTGTTGTGAAGTGCTGTCAAGTCAGTTCTGACTCATAACGACCCTGTATAGGGTTTCCTAGGAGTGGCTGTTGAGTTTGAACCACTGACCTTGCTTGCAGTTCAAACCGACCTTGCTGTCATATGTATTATCCTACAGAGTGACATCACCCTTAATTCCATCATAGAGTCCTGCTGTGGTGCTGTAGGGTAAGCACTGGACTGCAAGGTTGGTTTGATCCAAAAGGTCAACAATTCAAATCTACCTACTGCTCCTTGGAAATGCTATAGAAGATCGTTATGAGTTGGAACCCACTTGATGGCACGTAACAACAAAGGCAACAATCCCATCATGACCCTAATCAGAGGTAAGGGAATTTCCCAGGCCTGTGGCCTACCCCACCTTTTATCTTACAAAAGATGAAAAGGGAGAGAAGTGAGCAGGGAAAAAGGGACCCACTGCCACAAAGAAAGAAAAGCTAGCAGTGGTGGAGTGTGTCCTTTGGTTGTAGGGTCCCTGCACTGTGAAGCTCCTAGATCCAGGGACAGATTGATGCCAAGATACTTGGAGATCTCCAAGGAATGTTGGACCTACAAGAAGACATGGACCCTTCTCCAGAACCAGCATTTGAATTTGGGCTTTTAGCCTCCTACATTGTGAGAGAATAAATTTATGTCTGCTAAAGTCATCCATTTGTGGTATTTCTGTTATAGCAGCACTAGAGAACTAAGACAGCAACTAACAACAAGTCAAATAGGTTAGAGCTCAAGAAAAGTTTCCACTGTCACTGGAACCTTTTCTTGGAGAGTTGGACAGAAAGCCAATAAAAATAGAACCAAGCCTTTTACAAGCTATTTAATTCCTACCACAGCTTTATGAAGTAGACACTTCACATTTTATAAATGAGGAAATCAAGCCATAGAGAGTCACATAGCTAACTAAGTGGTAGAGCCAAATGCAAATAAGGCAACTCTAGTGTCTTTTTTCACTCAGGTGTTATGCGCTCAGAACTACAATGTATGTGACAATGTCTGCTTCATGTTATTTAATATTATCTCAGAAATATTGCAGGGCTGATCATGCAGGTTAAAGATACAAACATTTGTTGCTAAGAAACATTGGAAAAGTTACAGACTGACATCCTATATGAAGTCTAATATTTACCCTGGATGAACTTTCACTATTCCAGTCTGTGAAGACCTTTGAAATTTATTTTTCCATCATATAATGTTTGAGATATTTTTATAAACTGCTTATAACTAACAAGTCTGATCCATATTGTGGTTTAAAATATTTAGTAGAATTAGTAGTAGATTGGAGCCCTGGTGTGGCACTATGGGTTAATGCACTGGGATGCAAAGGCAGTTTGAGCTGCAAGGTCGGTTCACCAGCCACTCATCAGAAACCCTATACAGGGTCGCTGTGGGTTGAAACTGACTCGACAGCACTTAACAACAACAAGAAGTAGTAGATTGGAACTCTCTGACTTGTCATTAAGAATATTCCTATCCATTAATCAACTGCCTTTAAGTATGGTTGCTCAATCATCCATCCAATATCAAGCTGTAATAGTTTAATTTCTTAGAATGTTTCTTATCCTTTTCTTTTTTTTTCCCAGAA